AAAGAGTGTGGTTAGTTTTACTTATTACCTCATCACACTGGTGACTCATTTATTTTGGAGCTGATTATGACTCCGAGGTCCCTTTCCACAGCTGTGCTGCTTAGAATGGTCCCTCCAAGACTACAGGAGTGCTGATAATTTTTCCTCCCCAGGCGCAGACTTCCTGAGAATTGTCTACTAATCTAGAAAATATTCTCTATTATAAATAGCATCTGACAAAATCCCTTTTTGCTTATGTAAGCTCATGCCTCCTTGCACCAGTTAGCACCTAAAGTGCCACCCTGCTCTAACTTTTGCCTGACTAACATGGCTAACTGCTTCCATTATAAATAGCTGTCCATAAAATGTCTCTGGTCCTTAAGGCTACTCTTGTGTTCCATGTTCCTGGGATATCCCCACTGAAGCTAGAGGATACATTAAGGAACATAGACAGAACTGCATAATCCAGAACTGAGCCTTCAACTCAGTGTAAAAATCCCATTAATAAGAAATTTATGACATCTGTAAACTATGTAATGAGGCAGGTCCCTTTAAACAGTGAAAGTAAAATCCTAAATCCATGGAAGTCGCTAGCAAAACTTCGAAATTTCATTTTGAGTGCTTAAAGCAACTTATTTTCACATCCAGCATTAGGAAATCACCTGGTGTTTGCTTGAAAAAACAAAACAAAACAGTAGTTAGGTTAAAAAAAAGGAAATCAGTTATAACAAGTACCAGCTCATATGCCATAGCAGGAAAAAACATTCACCTGTGGACTCAACTTCAAATTTACAAGTTAGAGTTAAGGGGGAAGATGTGGGCTGAGCTGCAGTTGCATCAGTTTTTCAAATAACAATCCAAGGCCACAAAACATCATTCTTTAGGGAGCTGGTTTTAAGCGGGAAAAAAGCAAATGCCCTATCCTGCCCCCCAGTATTGCAGTTGCTCTTCTCTCCCCTCCTAGAAGTGTCAGCTCCATGACTAAGCAGTATCCCTGAAGCGGATTTCAGAAATCAGGATGTGCAGCTAACTAGACATCCACGCACCCAAAACACTGTGATCAGGGAGAATGCTAGGAAGCTGGTTTCAGGAGGACTGGATAGGATTTGTCAAATGCTGACGTATAAATGCTCCCTGACGTATCAGAAGGACTCCTTCATTTATGATATGCCAGTTTGACATACGTAAGTTCATACAATCCCCTGGCAGAAGGCTTGGGAACACAACAGAGCAGCTGTATGCCTTCTGCTGATGTCCTAAGCCCCAGATTTCCCAAGGAACTTAAACTGAAGTCCAGGTGAGTTGTGATCATGACTTTCCTCACAGCACTTTTATCAACAGTAGTTATCAGCACTAGTATCTTGACAAAATTCAGATGAGAAGGAGGTAGATAGTTGCCCATCTAAAGTCCTGACGTTCTGACTGAATACGGGCTTCTTCAAACTCTTTCCTGGTCAGGCCGCAGCTGGAGTACTGCGTCCAGTTCTGGGTGCCACACTTCAGGGGGGATGTGGACAACATGGAGAGGGTCCAGAGGAGGGCCACCCTCATGATCGGTCAGACTAGAAGATCTACAAGGTCCCTTCTGACCCTACATCTATGAATCTATGAAACAACTGTGGACAGTTACAGCCTGTTGTTCAGATACCACCACCATCCACTCCAGGGTGGCTGCATTTCTATGGTTTCTGGATTGCTCCCCGCTGGTAAGAAGTTTACTGAGTGCTTTAGATATTTCTCAGTGGAAAATACCATCTAAACATCAGTGATTATTAGTGCCCCCATTGTTTATTATTCCCGATGTGGCTGTTATAAGGGTGACTGGCATGTTCTCATTTATATAACTGTGACTGGCAGCCTGTCACACCTCTGTTATCTATAATGGAAACCACACTATTCATATTTTTCTCTCCTTGTTTTCCACAAGGCATCCGTCTCCTAAATCACCTAAAGAAATTCCCCTCCTCCACTTAGACGCTGCAGGCAAAATTCAACAACATGTCACCCAAGCTGGAAAACATCAGCTTGTAATGATGCCCAGCTGAGCTGTGTTCAATCTTTTGGCTCTTGGAATTGGAGGATTCGGTATAATGGGTAAAGAAAAAAAAATTAAAAAAGAAGGCATAAGACAGAGCTGATCAGTGCCAACACTCTAGCTGCTATGGTAACATATTTGCATCAGCAACAAGAGCAAAAGAAATAGAAAGAGAAAGGAAAGGTCTCAGGAGTCACGATCTAGTTTTTCTTAGCAAAGATTTTAAACACTGGCCAGACTGGGATACTCAAATTATAATCATAATACACCATGAATAGTAAAGCCTGATACTTCTATAGCAGGTTTCTCCAAAAATCTCATAGCATTTTAAAGGCTGTAAAGACCAGAAATACCATCCCACAGCACTGACCTACGCATGTGAGTTTGGAAGGGAAGTCATTATGGAAGTTGCATTACCTTTTCTCACCATTAGACCTGATGCATACTAGCTTGTGGGCGAAGTTTTGCCCTATTTTTCTTGTTGATCCATTGCTGCCACCACATTTTCCATCTGTTGTGATTTGTGGACGGTTGGGTTGTACTGGCCCCCTCTCACTAATTACTTGCTTTGGTGGGCTTTGCTCAGGAATCCCAGTTACCACGAAGGCTGGCCCTCTGTGGTTCTCAGATTTGCCCATCTGATCCTAACCTTGACCCTACTCATTAGTCTTCTTTCCCCAACTTAACTGTCCTTTCTACCTTTGTGGCCACTTCCCTGTCCCCTCACTGTCATTCCTGTTGCTTATTCCTTTTGGAAGGATTCGAAATCACTTAAGAAAATAATAGAAATCATATCTAAGGCATAGCACCAGTCAGAACATGAGTTACTGTGCAAGGAGACACACCTCTGATGCACGTGTTTTATAGGACCAAACCCTGAACTCCTTACTCAGTGCATGATCAGTCCACACTGCTAGAGTTCCCACTGAAGCAAAGAACATGTCCGCTTTTGGAAGTCTCTTTACTGGGAAACATCTCAGAATATAAACCTAGCTTTATTCATGGTATGTTGCAAGATACACTTATTGCATTTAGCTGTTAATTTTCTTTCTGTGTTCCTGCTTTAGTGACTGCAAGTAAGAACCTACTGACAGGAAACAGGATAATCAGCAGTAATAAAAATAGAACTAAAATAATTAAGAGCATGTGGTAGGTTAAAAGCATAAATCCTGAATACTTCTCCCAACTTTTAGTTAAGTCCTTCAGGCAAAACATCCATGAGCTTCACTTGGGAATTTTGCCAGAATAAGTAAAGAATCCCTGCGTAAAGATGTCAGTACTTGACTTATTTACATACAGTCAGGAACAAATAGCATAATATTTGATTAATGGTTAAATAAGAAAAAAACCTCATTCAAATGTCAGAAAATCAAATACAAACCCTCTTTAAAAAAGATGCAAGCTCAAGATTCAGATGAGCTTACTCTTCTCAAGCCTGGGTTCTGCATGAACCTCTTCTGATTGGACAATGATTCCACCAGTTGCATGAATCAAAGGATACTAAAACTCTGATTGGTGATTTCAAAGTTCCATAAGTTTATCCTCAGGTCATCAGCTGACATGTAGGTTTCATAGTCACTATTTACGGATATGGAGTTGATGTGATATGTGTGTGCATTGGCAAACACTCTTCTGGGGGTGGCCTCCACCATTAGATCCATGGGCCTCAGCACAGGTACCTGGCAAGGCAAGGGAAAAAAGGAAAAGCAGGGTGTTAAGATTAAAAAAAATCTCAGAATTAAAGAGTTCATTGCAACTTGCATATCAGTGTACTCAGGCTCCTATAAACAAATGAAAGCCCAGTTTAGTTCATTTAAGGCACTGGCCACGTATAGGGGACATGACATGAATTAGCTTTTGCCTCAGGCTCAAGGCTTGAATCTGACCTAGATCAGTACTGTTTCACAGCAGTAGTTCATCCTGTGACTGTTTGATGCACTGTGTAAAATAGGTCGGTGGTCTTAGTCCAGTTCTCATTTGATAGTTGCATGTATCGCTAACATCACCATCTCAGCTGATACTAACCCTTTGTCTCTAGTCCCAAGGGATATGACCGTGCCCTACAAATTAATTCAAAACTCAGTAATAAGTTAGTATACATACTGCAGCCGGGAAACTGAGCAGTAGAAAAGAAACCAAATGTAGAAATCCTTTATTTTCAGAAAGCAGAAATTGGTCGGGTCAGTGAGTAATCCAGTGAAAAAGACCTACTACCCCTTATCCCACTGCCACTCTGGCCATGAGTTCCTCTTTGGTCTCTCATACAATTTCTGCCTCAGTTTTCCTATTTACTAAAAAAGAGACAATATTGATTTAATTCACAGGGCTCTTGTAATAAGACGTTAAAAGGTATAGATTTATGAGGCCATTTCAGAAACTAACGGCAATTGCAAAATAAAACTATTTTGTGGGCAGTGATCATTTACTGGACCACATCACTTTTCTACATATAGTTGTAATCAATGGGTGCATTCAACAGTGCTGCTATCAGTGTTCATTGCTGCTGTGTACTTTTCTACTTTGTCTCAGACATACAGCCATTTTGTCCTTAGTTTCTGAAACACCCTAAAGAAAACAAAACCAAAACCTGCTTTTTCAGAACTAACTGCTATACTGCGTTACTCTGAACAGCATATTTAAGGCTATGCAGTAAGACCCCTCCATCAGATCTACATGAGTGGAGTCCTGTTTCCACATTCAGGTTCATATACCAGAATGGTATTTTAGAGATAAATGTTTATACTTGGGTTTACTAGAATGCTCCTAAATGCAAGCACCTTTTATTTGTGTTAAATCCAAATATGTAAAAAGTAAAAAAAGAGAGAACATGACCATAATTTTCTCAATCACCTCCATTCAGCAATATCTTTACTGTCTGCTATTTAGCCAATGATTTTTAACAGGGACACCTCAGTCAGTATTGATTTTTATCTCTTTAATTCCATTAAAAAAATGGAATTAGAGACAAGAGAGAAAAACATAGAAACTATAAAGTAGATGATGATACAGGCAAAAAAGAAACTGTGACATGCAGTTTTTCTTTCACATTTATTAACTGGACCTCATGCAAGTCATCAGTGAATGAACTGAGGCTGTCAAAAACAGTGTATGCAAAGAAAAGCATAAGTAATATCATCAGCCATAACACTCTTAAGGCAACTTAATACAGTAGAAAGGTGTTAGCCTATGCTTCCTTTTGCCAGTAAACTATTCCCTCAAGCTACTTCATTACTGTGTGTATTATCTGTATACTGCCCAAAGAGATTTCACATGGCTGCTGAGGTGGGGATGGAGGTATGACAGCCAGGATCAAGTGACACTAGAACATAGGAACTGCCAGCTCAGAGCCTGAGCTTAATGTGATGAGCCTGCTTTCTAATTCAGCCTGACATATTCAATGATGCATCATTTGCTGTTGAAGGACTTTGCTCAGCCATCTGGGGACATGGTCTAGCATTTTGCTCAGAGACTGTAGGAAGCAAGCTGTCATTCAGACTGTCAGAAACATGATGACTTGCAAAGGTAAAGGGTTCAAGTGTAACACCAGGACTTTCTAGAAACAAAAATAAATACCAGCATGTAAAGGTTTTGGCATAAGATTTAATTCACCATAATGCTGATATGCAATAAAGCTACTTCTAGATTGTTATACTACATTCTCTAACCCCATCTTCATTGACATCTCCAAAGCCCATGCTAATGTCTGCAACAATTGGCGCTGGTAGAACAAACACATCTGTTTAAGAGTAGTGGTTATTCTCTACAACTCCAAATGTGGACCGAGTTACTCAATATAATTAACTTATTTGTATAGAAAAGCTTTCTATAAGCAAATTAGTTTTCAGGAGAGAAGGCTCCTACTAATGGTACAGTTACCATTTATCTTCAACTAATACAAGTCTCTACTGCAAGGATAAAGTCAAATTCTAGAGACTTTACGCATTTCTTACTTGCACGGTTTACAACACAAAGTCCTGCTGGCAGAGCTGTGTTGGCTATGAAAAAAACATATCTCACAGCCAATGCAGCTATGCCAGCAACTCCCTCCCTTTCCCTGCTCCTCCCCACTCTATGGCTAGGGACAGAAGTTACACATTAACCGGTTTAAGTGATCAGAAACTGGTTTAAACCTGTAACAGAACAGAAGTTCAGTGCACAGAAACCAGTTTCAAAATGGCTGAAACTGGTTTAAGATAAACCTGGCTGAATGTAGTATCAGACTTAATTTAGGTCAAACCGGTTTATGACACTTCTGTCCCAGACCCCTCCCTGGTTCAAGTTAAATCAGAGTCCCCCAGCATTCCAGCATTTTGCAGCCTTGGGCTGGGCTGGGCTGGGCTGTCTAATGCAGACTGAGGGCTGTCCCTGTCCCTCTGCTCCCTAGCTGGAGCAATGAGGGCTGACTCACTACCCCCCTTCTGGGATCTAGGGCCAGGAAGGGGGGTTAAACTTCTCTTCCCCTGAGTATGGAGCTGCCCTGCCCTGCTTACTTGGTGCTGGCTGTGACTGTGGAGTAGAAATGGAAGCAGGAAGAGGAAGCGATGAGCAAACCTACACAGTCCTGCTGTTGTGATTGTGGACTGCAAATGCCAGAGACCTTGGGGGCCACAGGAAGAGGAAGCAAACACACAGCCCATGCTGGCTGTGCCAGAGCCATGCATTAGCGCCCCCAGCTTCTGGCCTGAGCCACTGCAGGCACGTGGCTCCATTTCCTGAATCAAAAATGACTGTCTGTTCATTTGCTTAGCTTAGACTAACCTGCAAAGACCGAATCAATTCAGCCTTTTTGACTGCCTGTACTTAGCCTACGTGGACACATCTGGGATGGCAGGAGGTTTCTGTTCACAAAACTTGTGTCATTTGGGGCAAATGCTTCAATTCTGATTTAAAAAAACCCCACCTTTTGCCAGTGTAATTAAAATTGTATTACTGGATGAAGGAAACTTCCCGAGGGAGGTGGAGTGGCTGGAATGTACTGCTCAGCTGCTAGCCCCAGATGGTAAATGGACCCTTTGGGACTACTTCCAGCCGGTACAGAGCACCCTGGTTGTTTTAACCTGGGCTACAGTGGAGAATCAGGGAGTTATAACTGGTTGCTGGGTCTCAGATCCTCCTCCTTTTTTCTTCTCCTAGGCTGTGGATTGAGGGAAAGGATCCATCCTTTGTTTACTGCTTCTCTAAGCAGAAGGCACAGCCATGTAAAAGCCTTAGCCCCTGGACAGATACACATAAGTTGGTATAATTAGGTTTTACATCTGAAAAAGGGAGAAACAGCCCTACGCTGGTGTGACTCATATCTGGCATAGAAATATCCTGGAGAAACTCAGGGGTAAAACAATTTTACTACTGTACATTACATCAACATAGATGTCATCAGTCTGCAGCAGATCCCAGGAAAGTCATTTGCTCTATTATGTGCTCCTCTTCCACCTGGTGGTGAGGTGCTATAACGGTCCTATGATGGCCAGCAGGAGAGCTGGTTGTCTGTCTACCCTGGATCCCAGTTTATGTTCAAAGCCAATGTAAGTTACACTGGCATAAAGGTGTGGTATGTCCAGTCTTTTCCTGCTGCCCTTAAGCTGCCAGAGTCTGGCAATGCTGTTACCTAGTATTTGCTCTCCTCCTTCCTCTGCAGTGCAACAGGCAACCAAAGTGAGTGGGGTTCTTGGGGCTCCAACAAGGGCAGCAGCAGGTGATACCAAGACGGGTTATACCTCTCTCATCGCAACAAAGCATTTCAACCACGTTGCTTTAAAAATCACACGTGGCTCAAGAAACACATTATCAATTCCAAACCAAATACATATTTTCTTCTTAATACAGTTGTATTTATGAGCCACAGCTCTGATGCTGCTGTTATAGGCAGCTATGTGTAGAAAGGGAAGGGGGTGAAGAGATAGAAACAAACAACCATCAGAGGTAGGAACATTTGTATATTTTTAGAGATCCCAAAGAAACGAAATGCAGGTGATTTCTGCAAACAGTCCCATTTTCTTGCTCATTTTGACTGCACAGAATCTAAGCTACTTGGAATTTGTACTGAGAATACTTAGCACAAGGGGAAAAGTTTTTTTTTCTCTTTTCATCATCACTTGCGTTCATATATTCCTCTGAAAACAAAAGCTTGATCCCTTTCATTATCATACAGAGATGAAGCAATGAAAAGAAGATCCTTGGATTTTGTGAGAATGAAAGCAATTCTAGCTTTCCTGTAGAAAAGAGGTCAGGGAAGAAAGCAAGCCATTTGGCTTGGGAAGCCTAAGTAAAAAAAGTAAATCGTTAAGTAAAAAATCACTTCTGTCTGTAGTCTGTCCCCTGGCCAGTACTGGTTTGTTCTCTGCTATATATTTTCCAGTCCTCCATCTAGTCAAGGTTTAAAAGGTCTCAAGCTACATAGCTGCAGATGCTTCCCTTGGGAGACTATTCCAGTCTCACAGACCTCCTCATTACAATTCTGCTTAACATACAACAAATGGAGACCAAAAAAAACCCTATGGTCTGTTGTATTACTACTACAAACTACCTTGCATCCTGCAAAGATCTGCTATGCTGAATCGTAGCCACCAGAAATTTAAGGTAGAAGGCAATGAACTTACTCAGAATTATAGCACTTAGCAACTGTTAAATGAAAATGCCTAGTAAAATGTCTGGTCATTTGACAGCAATTAAAAAAAGCTTT